CTCGGTTTTGAATTCTCTTTCCTTTATGCATTTAGTTTAGTTTTTTCATTTTTAGACATTCAATCATCTAATCATCCAAATTAAGTGGTAAAAGTTAAGTGTAGGGTTCCTAAATTAAGTAGCAATTAAATACAATTGTCAATTAGGCTTGATCTTTTTTCAGACATAACTCACGAGGTGAGTTCGATACTAGTCACCTCGTAAGCCCATAAAACACACGGGGTTGGACATTTTTCAAAAATGAATATGTTAGCCCATTATTGTGTAATTAAATGACCCAAACATGTTAGCCCACAAAAACTCACGACGTGAATCCAGAAAGAACACAGGACCACAGATTAAAAGATAATGAATCCTTTGACCAAATCACTTTCCTATCCTCACGAAGTGAAGACGGTCCCTTGGTCCAACCATCCGATTTTGGCCTTACTCAAACACAATTTACTATTGTGCTTACGTAATCTCTCCTTTAAGGTAAACATCTTGCAATTCTTTTGGTTGATTTTCACTAGTTTGTTGATTTAGGGGTTAGGGTTTTTCATATGCTTAAATATCAAAATTTTGCCCAAAATGAGTTATTCATCCATCATATGTTACTTGATTGTGCTTAAAAATGGTTTGTGAGAAAATCCTAACAACAAGATTAAGTCCCGATTTCTAATTTTAAGACCCTTTCACGCTGTGAATAGCGAACTCACGATGTGAGTTTTATAGTACTCACAACGTGAGTCTGGTGCATCACCAGAAACTGTTCTGAGAATTAGCTAATATATGGGATATTTGGCTTTGTTTTTGTTGCTTATTTATTCTTGCAGGAATATGGCACCTAGACGTGAGTCTAGCAACATCCAAGGTGGAATTGCTAATTTGCACCCGTTTTACGTATTCCAGACGAATATATCTAGGGACGTGCTCACCCGATACAACACTAGATTGGGATGGTTACACAACAGGGATTTTGCTATTGCCCCAACAATTAACTGGCAAAGGCTTCGGGAGGTTGGACTAGTTAAAAGACAACTCGTTTCTTACCAAAACTTTTATAGGAAACGGGTATTCATTTACATGCAAGGATGGAGTAACTTGTTCTCCATCCATGAAAGGGTTTACAAGGAGTTGTGTGTTGAATTCTTTTATACTGTGGTGTTCCATGAAAATGTCCAAGACCCTAACTACTCACAAGCATTGGTCTTTTGTTTGGGTGGGGAGTATAGAGAGTGCAGTTTGGTAGAATTCTCATGGAGGATGGGTTTATACGAGGCACAAGAGACCGTGACCCCAGAGTTTTCTATGTTCTTACGGGAGGTTGTCTGTACTTATTCCGGGGAAATGACGAGATATGAGTTTTGGACCAATATCGCTTTTGGTGTTTTCAACTTCGGTGTGTCGCCAGAAAGCAGCATCAAATCACCCATTCACCGTTTACTGCACAGACTAATCACATTCTCCATCCACCATAAGAAATCACATTCTCCATCCACCATAAGAAATTATGAGTTTTGGATCTTCAAGAAGAAGACCGATGTGGATGGGAATGTACACATGCATAAGGCGCGATTGGTCACGAAGGGATTTACTCAAACTCCCAGATTTGAATGATGAGACCTTTTCACCAGTTGCGAAAATAAAGTCTATATGGGTGATGTTAGCCATTGCTGCATTTCATGATTATGAGATATGGAAAATGGATGTCAAGACCGATTTCCTTAATGGGAAGTTGGCTGAGGATGCTTACATGGCTCAGCCAGAGGGTTTTGTCGATGCCAAGCATCCCAATAGAGTGTGCAAGCTTGAGAAGTCCGCTTATAGACTTAAGCAAGCATCTCGCAGATGGAATCTTTGCTTTGATGAGAAAGTCAAAGAGTTTAGATTTGTACGAAGCGAAGATGAATCATGTGTATATGTCAAAGCCAGTGGGAGTATAATTAGCTTCCTCATTTTGTATGTCGATGACATACTACTCATGGGAAACGACATTCCGACTCTACAGAAAGTTAAGTCCTGGCTCGGGAAGTGTTTCGCTATGAAGGACCTTGGAGAGGCTTCCTATATTTTGGGAAAAAGGATAGTGAGAGAACGAAGTAAGAGACTAATAGGACTTAGTCAGAATACTTACTTAGATAAGGTACTAAAACGTTTTAGTATGGAAAACTCGAAGAAGGGAGAACTACCGATACAAAGTAATGCCAAGTTGAGAAAGACTCAAAGTCTGAGTACCGAAGTCGAGATAGCTGAGATGAGCCGAGTACCTTACGCTTCCGCATTTGGCTCGATCATCTATGCTATGACTTGTACTCTCCCTGATGTGGCCTTTGCTTTAATCATGGTCAGTAGATATCAAGGGAACCCTGGCAGAGCTCATTGGATTGCGGTCAAGAATATCCTTAAGTACCTTTGGAGGACCAAGGAATGGTTTTTAGTACTCGGAGGGAGAGACGACTTAAAGGTGAGAGGGTATAGTGACGCCAGCTTCCAGACCGACAGAGACAACTACCGATCGCAGTCGGGCTAGGTCTTTACCCTTAATGGAGGAGCAGTGACTTGGAAAAGTTCCAAGCAGGAAACTGTAGTTGATTCAACGTGCAAATCAGAGTACATTGCAGCGAGCGAAGCGTCAAAGGAGGCGATATGGTTAAAGAACTTCATTGGTGACCTTGGAGTTGTGCCTGCCATAAGGGAGCCTATGGAAATTTTCTGTGATAATGAAGGAGCAGTTGCCTTGACCAAGGAACCGAGGGATCATGGTAGATCCCGACATATCGACAGGAAGTATCACTTTATTAGACATCAAGTAGAAGAAGGACACCTCGTGGTTAAGAGGATATCATCAGAAGATAACCCAACAGATCCACTTACGAAGGGACTGAGTAGGGTTAAGCACTTGCAGCACGCTAGGAGCATTGGGCTGAAGGATGATATTAGTTTAGATTAGATTGTTTGGAAACTTGTAATAGATAAATGTAGTTGACATTTGATGATTAAATAAAGGAGTATTATTTAAAAGTTTTGTCTTATGTTAATTGTTTAAATATTGTTTCACTGTGCATGTTTTGACTTCTAGAATAATTGAGTTTATTAAGAATAATCGAATTATTCAAACAATCCACGATCGTTCATATGTTGGAAGTAGGTATGAATGAAGATTGTCATGAATTGGTGTGTAGATTGTCTAAAAGGTATTAGACATAGCAAAGGTTTGCTACAACGTTCATGAGTGCTTATGAACAAGTTTTGAGCATTGGAATAAACCCGCACTTGCTGGAATCACTTTATGGAATGTACCGCAAGTGATCACAAGACGATAATATCATATGGTCTTGAAACCAAGATATATGGTTTATTGTTTACTAATTGGTTGTGCATTGATAATGCGAAACAACATCAGTAAATTGATGTCATAAAACGCATTGTTGTGTATAGTTGATTAGTGAATAAGTAAATGCATATAAGTCGAAATTTATCTGTTGCTTTTATCCTAAGATGGTGAAAGCGATATCACGGCCACTCAACGACTTGATTTGACTTATGTGTCGGGCCTGGTCAGGACTAAATTGATGTGTTCAATTAAGTTCTATGTCAAGTAAATATGAGATCGAGAAACTAATTGCTAGACAATAAGTATGACAATGTTTCATGAGATTGTCTGCACGATATCAAAACAGAGGACTATACGATCCCTTATCTAAAGGACAGGATACTAATAAGATCAAAGTTGACAGCATCTGTGAGAGCTACGATTGCTAATCGGATTATGTTTAAATTTATAGTTACTAGACTTATCCAAGTGGGAGACTGTTGGATTAGTGTGTAAGGCTGTAACTATATTTGGTAAGTACTTGACCCGGTTGTGCATGGTCCTTTTGGGTTGCCTTCACCATAGCAACTTGACAAGGTGATTTATATAGAGAGAAGATATATTATTATTAAAGTATTATAAGAATAATATGTTAAAGGAATGATAATATTATTTGATTGATATAAGTCATAAATTAATTAGGAATTAATTTGGTGACTTAAAGAGATTAATTGAATAAAGGGGCATAAACTGTCAAATGTTTGATAGTTGTGTTTTGGGCTATGAATCCTTATAGATAATAAGGGGGGACGATTTGTAAGATAAGGATATCTTAAAATCGTCCAAGGTTATCATCTAGAAGGATCTTTGGATTACTTTGAGGCTAAGTTATTCAATTAGGGTTTAAGGTGAAACCATATGAGCTCATAGTATAAATAGATCCCTTGGGTGAGGGAAATCGGCCACTCTATGATTGAGGAAACCCTAGGGCCGATTTCTCACCTCTCTCCCTCTCTCAAATCATCCTCTTGCTAGTAGGTGTTTGTAAGCCATTAGAGGAGTGACAATTATGACTCTAAGATCCAAGAACAAGAAGTTTCAAGTAAGCAACTCAAGGTATTCTTCTATATCTGATTTCATATGTTATGAATTATTTGTTTACACTAAATCTATGAATGAAAGTCTTGGATACATTGCATGTTCAATTAGAGAAACCTAGATCCAAGCATTAGGGTTTGCATGTGCACATAGGAAAGTTCTTATGACTCAAACCCATCAAATACAACATATCAAGTGCATGACTTCAAAAGAGGTGACATAGTGAATTTGAGGGAAAAGACTTGTTCTTGCAGATATTGGCAACTAACTGGTTTGCCATGTGGTCATGTGATAATGGTTTTAACGCACTTGAAAAATGATCATTGTGGGCATATGGCTATAAATGCTTATAAAATTGAAACATATCGAAGAACGTACGAGCAGGCCGTATACCCTCTTTCAGAACTTAGTGATTGGGAGGTTCCGTATGACTTTATGGTTGTTAACCCTCCTGTGATGGAAATACATCAATCCGGTACACCAAAAAACACCAATCGTATTCCATCTCAAGGTAAGGAACCAAAAATAAAAAGGTGTACTAGATGCCATAACACAACTCATAATGCAAGGACGTGTAAGGAAATCGTTCCAAAGAACCAAAGTAAAACTAAAAAACATATTGGGGCTTCAGGGAGTGGGACAAAAGTGACAGAAGAGGAACCGACGCAAATGACCGAAAAACAATGGCATCATGAGCCAGAGAACCAATGGACACAATATACCGAAACACAATCGCAGCAACAACCAGACGACCAATGGACACAACAGACCAAACATCAATGGCAGCAACATAAAAATAACCAATGGACATAACAGACCGAACGTGGATGACAACAGGAGCCACATAACCAATAGGCGCAAGAGACCGAATACCAACCGCTGGAAGAGCCACAGAACCAATGACAGGGTTGCATCGAGTACCAATGGCATCAAGAGCAAGATAACCAGTGGATGCAAGAGACAGTAAACCTAGGGACACATGCAACAGATAACCCATGGACGGTGATGAGATTTAAAACCTTTTTGATCGATTAGATCTTTGTAACAGGTAGATAATGAAAGTAAAAACAATGAAACAATACTCAAGTATGGATCTGAATGTGTCGAATGATTAGAACATTCAATCCTCAGCAGAGCTCGATTAAGAACTTCCGCTGTAGAGGATTTTAGGGTTACAAAAGAGATCTTCAAAATTACACGTAAAAACGATCTATCAGTTATGGAAAAGATGCATGCAAGCATCTATTAATACACAAACCCTAACAAAACAAGTCACGGATGGACAGGCCCATACCGGACACAAAATGGGCTAAGAGACGAGCCCAAGACGCAACACCGAATACCCAACAATCTCCCCCTTTGCGTTAATAGGGGCGAGACCTCACACCAGCTTGCTTACACCTGCGGCACTGGCTTTCTTCATAGTTTTGAATAGGCAGGGAATGATAGAAACAAGTGTTTGTTGGAAGTGAATGTACCAATTGATCATATCGTTGAAGTACTTCTTATCACTCTCCGAGTTCTATTTGCATCGATTGATGATACCCAGAACATGCTCCAAGCAGGAAGTGGTGTAAAGATGTTTGTCAGCCAAAGCAAATAAGCATTTCTGACCTTCTGCCCTGGTGAACATGACTGAGTTTTGTTTCGGATCAATCTTTCCCATCTTCATTCTGTTTAAATCGCTTGCAGAACCGACTAGAGTGATAGTGGGCTTCTTCCTGAGAACATTGGCAACTTCTTGATCCAGCTTAGCAACCTCCAAAATATAACACACCAACATTCTCTTGAAATGGTCTATGATCGGACCATATTCAACTTCATTAACAAGAAGAATGTTGTGCAAGATTATCCAGTCATGAGGGTTTAAGTTGGGAAGATCAGCTAGAGAGATGGAATGCTCGATTTTGTCGGATCCCCTTAAGACCTTGAATCTGATATTGGTGAAGTTGCCCTCCCGAACAGGTTTGAGAACCCGAACGTTGATGATCTTCTGTGCGCTCCACGTCTGATACTGAGGTTGATTTGTTCTCAAATAGAAGTCTACAAGATCCCTATCAACCTTCGGGTGAGGATGAGGAACTTCAGCTATGTGGGTGAATGCATGGAAGATAAAAGCTTTTCTGGTCAGGGGCATGTCAAATTGGGAATCTACCGAATTAATCCGGTCCAAGGAGATCACTGGTTCTAGCCAAAGAGTGCAGGGGGACTCGATAGCTTCTTTGACAAGCACTTCAAGAGTCCAAGGAGGAAATAGAGTTTTTCTGCTTTCAAGGAGATCATGAGCCTCTTTTATCTTCCTGTCTTTTGCTTCAGCCTCTCTGACAATGTGAGCATTTTCATCAAGCTCCTTCTCTCTAGCCTGTTTCCTAAGTAGGCTGACAATCGGTTCTTGATCATCACTTTCATCATTGTCATCGAGGATTTGTTTGTCTTTGCTTTGAGCACTCAAACCTGATGTAGGAACAGTTGTTGGTTTGGGTGCTTTTGGAGGGACAAGTGATGAAACTGGAAGTGATTGAGCTTTGGAAATCGGAGGGGGTTTTGATTGAGTTGTGGGCTTCCCTTCTCCCCCTTGTTTCGGATGTTACTCCTATTTAGGAATCCCTTCAATGCGGCTAAGCAGGGCAAGGGCAGGAGCGAGCTTCTCGGCAAGAGTGCGCCTCACCGAATAGTTAAGAATCGGATCATGGGGTCGATAATGTTGGATAGAGCCCCATGAACATCTGAAACACAACTCCTAACCACAGCTTTCTGAAGAGAATCGATCTCCTTCTCAGCTTGGGAGAGCTGATGAGTTGCAAGGTTAAGCTCGGAAGATTTACGAGCAAGCTCGTCCTTTGTAGTAGACTCGGTGGCAAGAGTGGCTTGAAAGGTAAGAAGACGATCCGCAACCGAAGACTGAAAAGATTGGTTGTCTTCTTTGAGGTTATGACGGAAGCTGGAAAAGTGGTCTTTTTCTGTTTCGAGAGAATGGACCAGCTTCTCCACAACAGTGCGAATCTTCTTGGTATTGGTTTCTGATGCCGCCTGTAAAGACTCCAGTCAAATCTGGGCATCTTGAAATAGTTTTTCGACTTTTTCGGTCGCTTCAGCACTAGCCTTTGTAGATTTGTCGATAGCAACAGCAGCTGAGCTAATGGAAGCTTCATGTGCTTTGGTGAGAGATTCCACCATCCCCTGAATTGCAGCCTCCGAAAAGTGAGATTTTGAGGTAGAGGAAGAAGCCACAAGATTATCAATCTTCTCGTGAAGTTCCTCGATGTGCTTTTTGGTAACTGGAGCATCATCATCATCATCACTTTGGACTTCATAGGGGCTGTAGTAGATGGAATCAAACACCATAACCTCCCCCCCCCCCCAAAAAAAAAGGTTTCAGTTTCAGCAGAGGGAGTGGGAGATAAGGGTGTGGTGGATGGTTCGGTAGTGGAAGTGGGTTTGGGTACGGAAGTAGGTTCGGGTTGTGAAGTTCGAACCCCTGTATCAGATACGTTGGTTGGAATCTCACTGGTGGTGGTTTTGGTGGCTTCAGTGAAGATTGGTGGTGGTATGGAAGTAGTTGTGGGTGGAAGGGTAGTAGAGGTAGTTATGGGGGGAATAGAAATAGGGTTAGATATGGAGGGAATGGAAATGGAGGAGGTTCTGGTGGGAATGGAGGGAATGGGATAGGAGAAGGAGAAGGAGGTTTTGATGAAACTGGTACCTCATAACCAGGCGAGTGAGGTGGAGTATCGCCTCTAGCTGACTCGCCTGAGTCAGATTGGTTATCCTCTGAATCGCTGGATAAAGAAGAGAGAATAAGTTTCCTCTTCGGCTGTGCTTTCTTCTTCTTTGCTGGGGGGAAAGATCTGTCTTTGAGGGTTTTCGCTTCTTAGGAGAAGGACCCTTTGCTCCCTTTGCTGCTTTCTTGATCTTCCCTTTCTCGGGTTTCTTCCCTCTAGCAGCTGGTTTATTTGCGTCATTAATGGACTGAACCATTTCCGCAGAAAGTTCCCATGGACCCGAAGGACGAAAGTCCTTGTAGGCCTTCATTATAATGCTCTCCTTGGACACACCAGTGGACATGGAATCCGGAATGGATCCAACGAAGGAGAACTTGGTCGGATCGATGACGATGATCTTTGTGGTGTGGAAGACACTGATGGAGGAGAGGAGGGAATCTGCAACAGTAGGAACATGAAGCTTATCCATGGTCCACTTGGTGATCAGCATCCAAAATCTGGCATACGACACTTCAGTGTGGCGAGAGGAGGAGGCTAGGCTCTGAATGAGTTGTTGCCAGAGAACCGAGCCGTAGTCGAGGTTGATGCCATTGTATAGACCATAGAGAATGGTCATGAACAATTTACTGGCCCCATCAGAACTAGAACTTCGCTCAGAGAGCCCCTTGAACAGAATGGTGAAGAAGCCATTCCATGGAGGAGGAAGACACGACTTCTTGAACTTTGTAATAGTCGTGAGAATTTCCGTGTAGCCCATGTTGTAGAACATCGAGAATAACTGTCCCACAGTGATGGAGTCGGGATTAACCCTAGATTCATCGACTTCAAAGCCTAGGAGCCAGCAGAATCGTTGCTTGGAGATGGAGGTCTTGTGAGAAAGAAGGTCGAAGTAGATTCGATCCACTGATTTATCATAATGAGCAGTGGAGAAGACCTGGGAAAGACATACCATGGGCACAATCTCGACCTTTGAAAGGGATAGAACCAATGGAGAGTATTTGAGACACTCCACCATGGGATACATATAACTCTCGTAGGCTTTAGGGTTTAGATCGATCACCAGACTTTGTTGAGCGCGAATAGGAAGAATGTTGGTGCGTGATGAGGTTTCCTGAACTGAAGAAGAGTCTGCCATTGTTGAATGCAATGTTGAAGATGATGAACAGTAGAGAGTAAATCGCCTGATTTTGCTCGATTAATTTTTGATTGTTGTAATTGTGGAATGAATCAGGAGTGCTGCTTTTATACTGTGGGTAGAGGAGAGAGAAGAATCATTCCCCAAATCTTCTTGATACACGAAACGGTTTCGGATATGACAGAATCGCGACGGTTGGCAACCCCGATGATTACGCATGAGAGAGAAAAATTGTTCCGTTTTGCACGCGTGCCCGTCAACTCACTATTGAAGCCGTTACTCTATCGGCTGAGTCATCGTCTTATCTGTTAAATAGCTATCATCCAAACACAAGATTATGATGGAACCGAACTAGATTTTTGGAAAATCAAAGATTTTCGTGCATAGAGTGTCAAAGATAAGGAAATAAAGCGATATTTATGTGGGAATTGGTGATGTCAATATAGACACAAAACAGTTAATCCCGGGCACGAATCACTTTCTTCAAGGTCAAGAGAGACCTTAAAGTGTCTGTATGGACTCCCATTGAATTACGATCAATCACTTATTAAGAAGTGTTGAAAGGCATCTTTTGATAAGGCTTAAAAGGGTGGCTTTCGCTTCAGTTTAGAATCCCGGACCTTGACATAAGATCGAGACTAAATGAAGTACCTGTGAGACCGATGTGGTCTGTTGAACAAGTAGGTTGGAAAATGTATATAGTGACTCATTGAAGATGTGTATTTGTGAAATCTAAAAAAATGAAAGTTGGATTCTAAGGGAAGAAATGTTATGGTAAATAACAATTTCATAAGAATCTCACAACAGAAAGAGATTTCATGTTTACCGTCAATTCATGTTAGGTATTGAATTTAGGGTTTCACTCAACACGTAGTGACACGAGGCTAAGATCATAAACACAGAGATTGTGTAACCATAAACCTCAGTGGTTATTTCTGAGAGTCTCAAGGGTTACGATATGGAACCGAAATATGATGGAGAAAAATATTGAGGTGGTGAAGAGAAACTAAAGTATCTCTGCTGTAAATAGTGACCAAGCAGTAAACTCTTAACCCATATGAGAAAAGAGTAAGGTAGCTCAGGATTAGAATAAATGAAGCAGCATGATTGGGAAGACAAGGTTTGTATATACCTCGTCAT